TTTAATCAGTTGGGGGGGGGGGTCGCGAATTGACCTTGTTGATGTTGACTGATGCATTTTTTCCGTAATTTTGAACTTGAACAAGTGGTCGCATCCCTGGAGAAGGGTCAGATTGCTTCACTCTAAACCCTATTCTATGTCGTATCAATCGTTCCCGCTACGATAGCATAGACGCTCGGTTATTTTGTCCGGCAGAGAATGTTGTGGAGCAGAACCGAATACAATATAAGCTTGGAATTCATTTCGACTCAAAATTACTAGACAACTGATGCTATAGTTAAAACGAGATTCGACAGTAAACATTTCCGTAAAACCATACTACTAAAAGAAAGTGCTCAGCTCAGCTCATGTTACACATATGATCATGATGGATATTCCTCTCCACAGACCTCAGGTGGGAAACAAGGAGAAACTATGAAACAAAATTCACCAGGTAGGTCAAAGATCAGGTAAGATGCAAACACAACAACTTGACAGACAACTTGACCTCACGCTAAATTCACATAAATACTATAGAACATATTAATCGATTAGAGCCACCGTAATCACCGTAATTGGATAAGACGAACGAAACGCGGTTATCAGAATAGAACAGAGAATAGAGATCATGTACCGCATCATTTTACTACGATAAAAAAAACGTGTGCCTAAAGAGTACTGTAAAATCCAGTAGTCAACAGTCGACCCGAAATGCAAATTCCGACTCGCATACATCAAAGCAACCCCGTTTATAGGGGAAGATGGTTAGTACTGTACAAGGAAAATGTGAGAGAAAAGATGCATACTTTCGAATATAAGATGGTACTTAGACTATGAATTGTGTGATGTTTTGGATTTTTTTGCAGATCCAGAAGGAAGCATATTTGCTGCACCAGCTCCTGCTGAGCTTGCCAACGAGAGCGCGGCAAGAGCCGTCGGGTCCATGAGAAGCGATTGCATCGCAAGAGGATTCGTCATCAATGAAGCCATAAGTAAAGGATTCAGCAAGTCTTCGGGCTAAAAATACTACTCTGAACGCGTATGGTGGAAGGTGGAAGTTGAAACAAACCAAGTAAATAGACAGCTTCCTTCACATAAATCCACCAAGAAAATGTGCAAATCGATTCAATAATTACATAGGGATTCCATGAAAGTAGAACGGGCACTTACCTTAGCGTTAGCTGAACTTGTACTTGACGTAGAACCGGTTAGCGCATATGGATTGAATCCGAGCAAAGATTGTTGGAGCAAAGTTTGCTGCATCAGCATTTGCATTTGAAGAGCCTCCAGCTGTTGTTTTGTAGCGGCTTCAGCAGCCAGAGCAGCGCTGGCAGCATTCGATGATCCCGCAGACATTGAAGCGCCTAAATTTCGAGATTAGAAGTAATCCACCAGAACCTCCGATTCACTCATAAACGGAGAAAAATAAATATCCAACAAACAAAATAGACAGCAAAATCCTGTTAGACACTTAAAGATGTGACTGTTCGCCTGTTTGTAAAAAAAGAGAAGTAGAATCACCTCCGAAGACACTGCTGCTGCTAGCTGCCTTGTCAGATGATTTTGTAGCTGCAGACGAAGAGGGTCCAGCGGCATTCGCAATAGCAACAGGATCTCCTCCAAGTCGTTCTGGATGCGACATTCCCACCACCAACTAGAGAAGAATCATTTATCGATATATCGGTAATCAATAAAAACGAAAAATTTCAAGTTACTAACCTGAGCAACAGGTACACTACTGCTATGTACGTTTGCTTCGGGATGAGCGTCAAGCCATGAAGCCAATTTACTCAGCGTTGGCCATTTCGAAGCAGGAAGCAAAGCTCCAGTCAGTCTTAAATCTCTTGTTTGGCAAACTTCCGAGAAATTGAACGAAGTGCCACTATGAGATGAAAAACAAAACCATCCCCAGCGCTTCCAATACTTGAAGCCCCTGCATTTGATGCTTTCTTGGGGATCTCACCAGGCTCTAGACGAGGACTAGACTCCGGCTTCGGGGTGAGCGGTGCTGGCGCTGGTGTTGGTGCCGCGCTCACCGGCTTTGAACTAGGGGCAGGAGTGGTAGCTGCGCTCAGAGGTTTTGGAGTAGAAGGCTTAGGAGTTGGAGGAGCTGACGGCTTGGCGCTTGATGGAGTGGAATCGGCTGCAGCAGATGTGACCACGGGGGTTGGAACAGATGGTGGTGGTTCTTTTCCTGGAATTGAGTTGATATACAAGCTGTATCATGAACTTTCTCAATCAAACTCCTCAAACTGCATGCGAATCTACCTAAACTAGCGAGATCCAATGTGTAGGTGGGATGCGATGTTAGCCATGCACTAAGGTTTTTCAGCTTTGGTGCAGATTCACCCAATAACCGCTCCTTTGTTGGATGTTTAGACCCGGAATATCCTGTTTTTTTTGTATCTGAAAGGACTAGCCATTAACCATTTATGCGAAGGTCTCGCGATTTTTTTTCTCTCAAAAATGATTAATAGCTGACACTAACATGGTTTCCGCGTGAGAGGCTGAATTGCGAACTACATACTAAAATCAGGTTCCTGGTGTGTTCCTCATATTTTATCCTTCTACCTAATGCTCGTTTTTTCTTTCTTGTACCCGAAAAATGCTGAATGACTCTGACCATGTTCGCCACTGTTTTACTTGTACTTTCCGTCCCGGACACAAAGTCATCGAATCCTACAAAAATTTTCTGACTGTTCTTAATGCGAAAAGTTACCGTGTTGTGGCAGGAAGCTTGAACTCTTAAAAAAGACTTTGCATTCAGATCTTCGCTTGCGAATGGGCTTTGTGATAGAGTATTTATGGTTGGGATATGCTGCCGCAACAAAGTTGGGATTGATAATTAAAACTAAGTTTCGTCCAAGGACGACTTTCTCTTAATCTTGGCATGGAAAGTTGATGCGAATAGTTTTGCTGTAGCCTGACCAAGATTTCAGCACTTTTTATTAGGCTTACGTTTCGGCCTCTTCGCCTTCGTCAGAGCCTGAAAGTCGAAAAGCAATTGAGACCGATCCTTTCATGAGCCAAACAATACTGAAGACAATTTCTCTCCAGACTACTAAACCAACAGGCGGTATCGATAGAACCAAGAGCCGAAACGTAAGCCAAAAAGTGCTGAAATCTTGGTCAGGCCACAGCAAAACTATTCGCATAAATTGAGTTTCTTCTTTCAGAATTAAATTCGCAGTTACTTACACTGCGCCTGAAGCCACAAAGAATGAACTGAGAAGGAGAGGAGACATATGGCTACTTCAAAAACCGGCATAAAACATACCAGGTGGTAGGGCTGGCAAGGATGATAAGCTCATTCAGTCCGAGTTGACCCATCGCAGCCGACTGCTGTTGCTGCTGAGATGTTGAGGGTGCAGGAGCAGAAGAGGTTGAAGGAGCTGGCGAGGCAGATGTAACGGCTGGTGGTTCAGCCTCAAAATTCATTATCCAGATATCGTTGAAAAGTAATTGATCCATCAGATTTTCACCAATAAACTGGTTTTAACCGTACTTTTGTTGAAATCACAAGGTTAACACCTATGACAAGATCATGAAACATTATATTACTGGACCTCTTAAAATGAAAGCCTCCTTGTAAAAGTTTGATCAAACGGTATATGATGAGCCGGTGCAAAAAACTTTTCTAAGGCGCAGACAATATGCAGTAAGACGATGGAACAAAAATGCCAACAATTTCCCGACAATGAGCCACTAGGTAATATTCTGTCCACTTCCCCATAACAACACTCCAACCACAGTTACTACTAACCTTCTTTGTTAGATTAAGAACATCAGCCTCCATTCCCGCGGATCCTGAAGCAGCTGCACTGGCCAGAAGTGCGGCAGCAGCATGAGACGACGCTGCAGCAGCCGAAGTTCCTGCTGTTGCTGAGCCACCTGCTCCGGAAGAACTAGCTGAAGTGCCAGATGCTCCTGCTGAAACGAGCTATCATAGGAAGCATGTAGACCATGATGACGTAAAACGCAATTGATAAAAACCAGCTCTTCAAATTTAATATTTGAGTAAAACCCACCAGCCATGGCAAACAGTGACCCAAGAAGTTGCGCCGCTGCAGCGTTGTTTCCCATGAGTTGCGGCATGAACATTGCAGATTGCAGCATGGCGGCTGCTAAAGGCAGATCACCCATTTGGGATAACATCGACTGCTGCATCAACGCACGCATCTTTTGCGCATCCGTATCCACTGCACGCTTTCGACCTCTTCGTACCTTAAGAAAAGCGCATCAAATAATAAGTGGGCTCAAAATCAGCATCTGATACAAATTAGCCACCTGTTGCTGCGCGCGAGCTCTCTCCTCCACATCGCTATCATCTACGCTATCAGTGCTTGCCGTTCCATTCCATTTACCGGTCTCCACCGTAGTGCACACCTCAATCACCCGGCGCAGCAACGTTTTCTCAGTAGGTCGAATGATCTGTAATCAAAAGCAATTCCTTGTAAAATTCTCGATGTGCCAAGTAATCAAGTGTATACCTTCTGGAATGCCGGCTTCTTCAGGATGTTTGCCGATATGTTGTCAATGCCATGCTGATCGCAAACAGATATGAGTTCTTTATCATGTTGAGTAGTCCATCCAGATGGCATTGCTTCAGCAGAACACAGCTTCAACATCGGAGTCACCTTATCAAGACCAGCAGCTAATGCGTGGACCTGAAGGCGACATTATTTTGAGAAACTTAAACTTTTTTTTACAGTCACAGCATATTTTTTCACAAGAATAGGTACTCCCAGACCTTCCTCGTCAGATGCAGCCGATTCATCAACTTTTGGGCTTTTCGCGAGGTCATAGCATCAACTGAGAGAGCTCTTTTCGTGTCAAGCGCCGACAGTTCGCCTCCTTGCGCCTTAAAAGTTTACCATCATGAATGAAATTTCGGCAATAAAGAATATTGTGAAATGAAAAAAAAAAAATGGATCATCAAATGCAGGGTTCATCTGCTCACATATCAGAGCTAATGCAGAGCTGTGGAACACTGCAGAGACAGTGAATTCAGAAAATAACCAAGAAATTGATACATTGGCCGTATTATAAGGCTACGTATTTACAAAGCTCGAAAAAGGAAAGTTTCTTTCGCAAAAATTTCAGAATTGTTACATAACATCATAATAAGAAAGCATTGTAAACGTTTATACCAAAAAAAAAAAATAGTATGCCGCATTGATAAATACGTCGCCAAAATGCCCACTGCCCTGCGGCAGAGCCCAACCAATTCCATACCAAGTCCCAGGAACCACGCGTTGCGCAGATTTCAAAGTTTTCACGACCTCTCCCATTTCAGGGGTATTAACCACCCCTGTATTACCCCCTGTATTAACTATTTATGTCTTTTTACATACTTTCACGCCCATCATGAAAAGTCTAGGGGCCGTAACCGACATGGAAAGATTTGATGAGCAGTGAGAAGTTAATCCGTCGTGCACTTCGTCTCGCAAGAGGACGTGACTCGAAACGATATGGAAAATACACATTTAATAAAAGTAACTCCCAACATCTGCACAAACCTAGTTTCGTCTGTTCTCTTGGAATACGATACCAAACTTAAATAATGCAAATCTTCTTTCTAGAAATTTTCAACTTCTGTGAATGTTCAATTCTTCGAAAACTTCCCACTGTTCCGTTTCTTGTGCAAATGCGAGTTTCTAATAATTACGTTCATAACTGTCTTTATCATAACCAACTTTCTCCAAACCCTTTTAGGTAGATCGCTTAGGTTAATTAGAAGCTAGATGTTGGATTCTCCTGGATATCTTTGAAAGTAAAAACTTTCTTCTGCCAGAATTTTCTAGTAGAACATTAAAAATCAATCTGCCAAATTCGTTGCACTTTCTCCATTTCAGGTTTGGTCTCAAAGCATCGAAATCCCTTTGAAAAAATCTCCCTGCTGGCGCTCACTCGAATATGAATATGAACTGATTCAGTGAGAACCCCTGCGTTGGGGATGCACCTTCAATCGTTTCTGGTGTAGCGCAAATGTTACCTGAAAGTACTGCCCCTCTGACACTTTGCACTTCCCTTGTTTACCTTCGAATTTTGTGACTGGTATGAATTAAACGCTCCCCTCCTCTCCCCCCCCTCCCCCTTATACTGGCTTAATACGACCCTCGTGACCTGTTGGGCAACGGGTGGTTTTGACCTGTCTTAGAATTAACTAATAAGCTTACCGAGACTTTCAGTACTACTGTGTGCGACCTGACTAGGAGGCAACAATTAGAACAAATAAAAAGGATAGATTTTTTAGTCCTTTAGTGCGCGAAATGTTGCTCCATCCCAAAAATTCATATTAGCTGGTTTGTTGTATCAAATTACATCAAGCTAAAGTCTTGCAAGGAAAAGACAAACAATCAAACAAAATATTGTAAACATCAATACAAGAAAGAATTATATTCGCTACTAAATATCACAAACGTACCTTTGTGCACATGGCCAGAATACAATACAAGTGCTCTTGCATTTCTTCGTCACTCTTTTTCTCCAGTAGTGGTGAAAACGCTCGGAACGCGTCCCAATCAATCATTGTTGGATCATTCCTCTTGTCTTTCATACCAAACGATCGTAGCACTCGCATGTATTCTTGTTCTTCTCGCCGGCTCCACCTACACTTCTTCTCTCTGAGTTTGTTACGAATACATTGAACACCCACAACAATAACACAGCACCCGCATTCCACAAGTTCCAACTCTAAAGCGAACACAAACCTTAATTTCTCGTATACGGGATCGGTGATATTTCTTTGACTGACTGCAATGAGCCTCCTAAACCTCGTTGACACTTCAGCGACACCAGGGAAGGTCTCAGGTAAAGTGGTTTTGGAAGCGAAGCACAGTTTTTCGTCAGCTCGTATAGCATCCACGTTGTCGAGACCTTTAAAACGGTGCAAACACAAACGCAAAACAAATAACTGAAATTAAAAGCGACCACCCACCATGCTTGTAAATGCCAATTAGGAGACATTTGTCGCAGTCAGCATCCCAACCGTCGCACATTGGTTCGATTAGCGTCGGTACGGGAATATCAATGGTTGACCAGTCAGCTCCTGCCTCGATATCTGCCGCTTTGCTGCCGATAATTGTCTGAATAACTTCCAATTTGTACGGTATGTGGAGAACTCGCCGCAATCAGTAGAAAGAAAAAACATGTTCAAAAATCTTTTTCCTACTGAAAAGAAACCTGTAAACAGACATAAATTGACACTATCACAATAACAGGAGCAGAGATAATTTCTGAAAGATCACAAGAACAGAATGCTGTCAAAAACACTCCCACATTCCAAAGATTCCTTCGACGTCATTTTTTCCGCCAACGTTTCAGTGGGAAACTATACCACTAGAATAATGTAGCTTGTCAAACAACACACCTTCTGCAAATGCCTCAACTGATCGATCTTCACCAATAATTTGTTGGCATGGCGATGAACATGTCGTTGAAAGGAAGCGTCGAGAGCAAAGTTTGGTGGATTAAACTCAGGAAGTGCTGCCCATCCCTACAATGAAGCGCGTTTGATAATGGATTCGAAGAACAGAAAAATCAGTCTTCAAAAACCTGATGATAGATGGACTGCGACCCCTTTGCCTCCTTAGCATTTTTGGCGCCCTGAGGGGCAATCAGCTGCCAAACTGTCTGTCTGATTCGCTCATCTCCACGGTATTCTCGAACGCAGTGTAGTAAAAGCGTGCGCGCCATGTGGGCGATGTCCATCTCAGAAACCTGAAGTGATGCCACTTGAAAATTTGAAAACATTTGACATTCACATAATAAGAACAAAAATACCTCAAGTTCTCCGCTCTTCTTCATAACGTCCCCATCCCCAAGACGCCAGCACTTTCACCTATAAGCGAGTAATAAAACACTGAACAATCACCACAGCTGTTCTCTCATTTTTTTTACAAAAACGTGACCTTTCAAATTGTACCGCGGGGCGAAACACACATGACTATGATTAACTCGAATTCATGATATCGGTTGCTACTAATAGATGTTGCTCTAGGTTACTTGAAGGTAGAGATAACAAAAAAAAAGAATATATGAAACAGATGACCATCCAGCGGAATCACAACCCCTATTCGCCATTTACCGTTTGTACGGCCAGATTCCCAGAATTCATACAAATAAGTGATCTGCAATGATATTTGATTAAACATGTGAGACAGAAACTATAACGAAGAAAACGACACTCGAATATCTGAAAGTCAATACAGATCCAATAAATCGGTAGATAATGAATTTTGTCCCAATATGATCCTTGCTTGTCCGAAGCGATAATATACTCTAGCAGTCCAGCTCTGCATGTCACTAGGTGAAAAGATGCATTCATAATGCCACTATTACCCCGCAAACAAGATGAAAAGTGATGCATCCCAAGGAAGATTAATCATTACCTAATGTCCATCTAATAGTACTCGAATTCTATTTCCGCTTAAGAAAAATAAAAAAAACTCGTGTTGCCAAAAAAACCCCAACAAATGTTACAACCTTGACACAACTACCCTACCTGAAGAAAAAAAAAAAAAAAACAAAAAAAAAAAAGAAAAAAAAAACTACTCGCTATGAATGCCAGCTCGTCAGGACGATAATTCACGTAATCACCATCCTCATCATCACCACGCCTTCTTTTGCGGATTACCGACTGAACGTTTGAACCTGAACAATGAGTACTTCAGAACGATAAATATTTCCCCTGGAGGAATTTTGTAACCTAAAAGTATCTGTATATCCACAAACACTTAGTACATTCACTTGCGGTTTGCCGTGATTTCTCAGGTCGAGGTGCATGTAATTTCAATACAAAAATTCTAACTACTAGGAAGCCACACCTTGAGCACCGCCGCGTTTTCTTCCTTTACCTAGCTCATCGCTGCCATCAGAATCCTCGCCTTCCTTCAGTGAGTTTTCTTCGAAACTGGAATAAAATGTTTCTACAAACCTGTATTATCACCAAAATTACCAAGAAAACTCCGGAAAGAGGAGCATTCATTGTTATGAGCTATTATTGATACATGGGAGAAAAAACTAAGAGAAGTAATACCGTTTCGTGCGCTTTCTAGGTTCTTGCATGATTAGGTCACGGGAGTCTGGTGTTGCCGTCGCTTTTTCAATGTCCACCTGTGTACAATGAAGATAAACAAAAATAAAACAAAAAACATACACACAACAACCAAACAATAACATACCTGGGCCTTTTCAGCCCATTTCGTCCAGAAATTCGGGTCATCGATGTCAATATCATCTCCACGGTTATGGGTGGAATTGAACGCTGCCTTTGCAAAAAGTGATCCCTGAAGCAAAAATAGAAGAACTGATCGTCAGGAGATGGGCTATGTATAAAATAAATAATGATTGTCCGTTGTTGAGTTTTTCGCGCTTTTGAATTCTTGTATGGGGAAATATTGTATGCATACCTTCTGTCCCGGTTCTAGGGTGATTGTTGTGGTTCTTCGCTGAAGTATGGTCTCAATATCTTCTTCACTGAATTTACTACCTTCATCAACATTTTCATCCATAATCGACCCATATGCGCCCTAAATTTGAGGTTGAGAGCATGCATGAAAAGGGAAACCAAGAAAACGTTGCGTTAGTGCAAATGTGCTGAACCTTTTTCAGGAGCTCCTCCACGTCCTTTTTGCTCAGAGAAGTGCTGCTCTCTTTGAGCGCCGTGGTTGACTGAAGAACAGCCTTGTCCAGACCTAACTTCAACGACGCCTGAAGTCAATTTTCATTTAGATTCAGTACGAAAAGAGGTTAGCCAAATGGCACTTACTTTATCGAACATTTCCCTTTCGTAGGTGTTTGCAGTAACCAACCGATAAACTTTCACCATTTTCGTTTGTCCGATTCGATGACATCTGGAAAGAAAACATAACGATAAAAGAAAAAAACATGCAAGGAAAGATATGACCATGGGAATTGTGAAAGTCAAACATGCAAATGTAAGATGCGAAGTAAGTGCACGCTATACCTTGCTTGCGCTTGCAGATCGTTCTGCGGATTCCAATCAGAGTCAAAAGATGATAACTGTATCAGCAGCCGTGAGATTAATTCCCAATCCACCAGCACGGGTACAAAGCAAAAACACAAATCGGTCGGAGTCTGAACGGAAATTACTAGCAGTGAAATAACCGTCATATTAAATAACCAGCAACAGCTATTATTGATACCTTTCTTCGAAAATCGATCAATAGACGCCTGTCGCATGTCACCGCGCACGTTACCATCTATTCTTTCGAAAGGATAATTCATGTTAATGAGGAATTCTTCAAGAAGATCCAGAACTTTGACCATTTGAGAGAAGATGAGAACCTTAACAAAAATTATTGTACTTACGCCGGCACAAATTTCAAGTGAATACATAGACAAAACAGGCAGAAAAAAGGTACCGCAAATTTACCTTGTGACCATCATTTCTTAATTTGGGCAAAAGCTTTTCAATCAGCACAACTTTTCCAGAAGCCTGGACAAGCGCTTTATGTGAAAGAGTTTCTTCGTCCCACTCGGGATGGAGCAATTTCAGTTCGGATAATATAGTCTCCTCAGCACCCTATATGTAACAGATTAAGGAGTGAGAATTTGAATCTAATCCAATGAAAGTTCCACGCATTGGAATACCAAACATTGAATTTTTCCCAACCTGTATAAGGAACGGATGATTGCAGCACTTCCGTAACTCCATCATAACGTTCATGAGAGAAGGTGCAGATGACCCTAAAAACCTCGATTTTACACTCATGATGTGCCCATCCAAACAGTAGAGCTCAACAACCCAAGATAGAATAGGCATCAACATAAATAGAAGGATGCGTAAAATATCGTACCCTTGCACAGATGAGAAAAATTCCGCTCCAAAATAGCACGATAATACTTCTTCTGCATGTCTGACAATTGCACCTACAAAAAGCTATGACATATTCATCAACTAATTGAAATGAAGGATTCGCCAAACAGAAAAAATAAATAACGAAGCAAAAAAATAAAGTCTGAGAGTTTGTGAAACAATAATAAGAGCTCAACTACGCTGTGTGCCAACCTCGATAATTGTTTCCTCCTTCGGTTGGAGTGACTTCTCCACATCTTCTTTAAGACGACGAAGCATCATCGGTTTCAGTATCTCTTGTAATTTTTGCACTTGTTCATCAGACTGACATTGCCCGAATTGTTCCAAAAACGCAGCTATAAAAGCGAATACAAACTCTTGTCGTTTAACTGCGTCATACATAAGTTCATCGAAACGTCTGCTTAAATCACGAAAAGAATCGATACCTGAACTGCTGAATTGCTGTGGATGAAGGAAATTGAGCAGCGAGAACAGTTCTTCGATGTTATTTTGGAGTGGCGTCCCAGTGAGTAAAACACGATGCTCCATTCGGAATGCGTGCAATCCTGAAATAGCAATATGTGCGTTACTGAGAACAGACTTCTTCTAGGGAGTAAGATAAAGAATACTGCTTACCCCCAGTCAACAGCTTGCAATTTCTATTTTTTAGACGGTGAGCTTCATCAATGACACACACTCTGAAGGGGATTTTTCGCAAAAACTCGCAATCGGTGACGACCATCTCGAAGGTGGTGATCAACGCGTCTAGTTTCACCAAAGTTTTTTCGCCACGTCTGGAAATTTTTATTAAAAACCATTACCCTTTCAGCCTGGATCTATGCTCTGTGCAATATGAAGATTGGAAAATAGAATAACTATCAAGAAAGAAGGAAAAATAATAGCAGACCTTATTGCCACTTGAATGCTGCTTGGCGTAATAAATTTCGTACTGCTGAATAACATCACGGCTGTGTTGGCTACCATGATAGACCACGGCGTTCATATCTGTCCATGTTTCGAATTCTCTGACCCAATTATGTATTGTGGAGAGTGGAACAACGATCAGGAAGGGACCATGGATTCCATATCTAAATAACTTAACTCAGTCCAACAGAATTTTAAAAAGGAATAATCAAAGAGAAGATGAGATACAGCGTTTTCAAAAGTACGATTTATAAGATCTTTTACCTAGAGATACTACGACGATGACGGGCGTGGGTTAAGCCACCGCGTGGTGAGGCCTGGCGTCAGAGTCCGCGATCTGCCGCGCGATCTGAGCGAATCGCGACGGATCGCGAGCTTCTCGACACCAGCCTAACGTCTCATGACTCTTCACAATGTCAAACTAGAGTCAAGCTCAACAGGGTCTTCTTTCCCCGCTATTTTTACCAAGCCCGTTCCCTTGGCTGTGGTTTCGCTAGATAGTAGTTAGGGACAGTGGGAATCTCGTTAATCCATTCATGCGCGTCAGTAGTTAGCTGACGAGGCATTTGGCTACCTTAAGAGAGTCATAGTTACTCCCGCCGTTTACCGACGATCGCGGCCTACATTAATCTCAAAACTACGATTTAACATTCATTCAGAGCACTGGGCAGAAATCAGAGACAGTAAACGTCCGCAAGGACCATCTGTCTCCTCTGTTTTAATTAGACAGTCGGATTCCCCGAGTCCGTACCAGTTCCAGTTCGACTGTTTTGATGGTCGGTCAGGATACTAAGCCCGAAGACAAAGCACACACCTGAAAACGTCCACAAAGGCAGTCTTGTCACCCACGTCCGCCTCACGTTTAAGCATCCACCAGCCAGCCACCTTTCTAACGTGTGTGAGCTTGCTTGAGAAAATACCATGCGAAACAGCAACAACATCAGTTAACAGGCCAACCGCGTAACCACACGTCATCACTGGAGCCAATCCTTTTCCCGAAGTTACGGATCGAAGTTATGTTATCGAGTTCCCTTACCTACATTATTCTATCGACTAGAGGCTGTTCACCTTGGAGACCTGATGCGGATATCGGTACGATGCAGCACAGATTAATAGCCTTCCTTGGTTTTTCAAGGGCCGTCCAGAGAACACGAGACATCACAGAAACCGCGATGCTTTACGGAAACAACGTCCCTATCTACGGCTGAACCGATTCCAGGGAGTCCGTTCCTTAACTAGAGAAGAGAACTCTAGCTCGGTCTCTGAGCGACGTAACCAAGTTCGAATGCGTTACCGCGCAAATGACTCAATGAGTCACAATCTCTGTGTCTGCGTTAGGGAATATTAACCCTATTCCCTTTTGATATCCGAGAGAAAAGAAACTTTTCCCTCTCAATGATACAAGGCATAAGCCAGTATCTTAGGATCGACTGACCCACATTCAACTACTGTTCACGTGGAACCCTTCTCCACTTCAGTCTTCAAGGATCGAACTTAAATATTTGCTACTACCACCGAGATCTGCACTGACGGAAGCTCCAGCTGGGCTCACGCCCAAAGCCTTCGACGCAACCGCCACGTCCCTCCTACTCGTTGCGGCCAGGCGATAGACAACGCACAAGCCAGCAACGGCTGGGTATAGGTCTCTCGCTCAAGCGCCATCCATTTTCAGGGCTAGTTGATTCGGCAGGTGAGTTGTTACACACTCCTTAGCGGGTACCGACTTCCATGGCCACCGTCCTGCTGTCTATATCAACCAACGCCTTTTATGGGGTCTCATGAGCGAGAAGTTAGGCACCTTAACCCAACGTTTGGTTCATCCCACAGCGCCAGTTCTGCTTACCAAAAATGGCCCACTTGGAGCTCGCGTTCGTGTCAACAGTTCAATAAAGAAACCGAGACAACATACCCATTGAAAGTTTGAGAATAGGTTGAGGTCGTTTCGACCCCAAGTCCTCTAATCATTCGCTTTACCGGATATAACCGCGATGAACTCCAGCTATCCTGGGGGAAACTTCGGAGGGAACCAGCTACTAGATGGTTCGATTAGTCTTTCGCCCCTATACCCAAGTCTATCGATCGATTTGCACGTCAGAACCGATACGGACTTCCATCAGAGTTTCCTCTGACTTCGTCCTGCTCAGGCATAGTTCACCATCTTTCGGGTCGCAACCTGTACGCTCTACCGCTGCCCATCTGCATGCAGACAAGACAGGGCCATGGTGCGCTACTTCGAAAAGTAGATCCCATGTCAGCCGGTTAACCGACCTTTACTTTCATTACGCCTTAGGGTTTAACCACCCTTTGACTCGCGTACAAGTTACACTCCTCGGTCCGTGTTTCAAGACGGGTCGGAGAGGTGGTCGACTTTCACACTGACACCCTGCAAGCAGGATAAAACATTAGCCATGACAAACTTAACCGTAAGTAAGACACCACCGAAGCGTATA